ACTTCGCTTGCTCTCCTCTCCTTGCTCTCCTCTCCTAAGTACTCAGTCCTGTTGAACAATATGGAACAACATTGTTAACTGTGCACTGACTTTGTATGGCCTGAGATCCAGAGTGAATTTGTTTTTTTTTATTAAATCGTTATCTACACTTAACGAGTCCCTGCAACGACAAACTCTGGTTTTATGATACAAAAATAGGTCGTCCAGGCATGGCCTTCATGTACTTACCACTTCACATTTCAAAATCGTCCTGCACGGCCATATCCGCCACCGTTGTTTGAGCCACTTCCATAGCCACCTAGAAGCATAAATATATACATTTAAAGAAAACCTCAGTTTACAAAAACTATGCAGACAGGGCAGTACACATCCTTGCATCCAACTAACCGAAGTTCCTGCCGCCACCACCGCCTCCGCCGCCAAAGTTGTTCTTCATGGGGCCAAAGTTGGAGGCCTGGGGGTCGTAGTGGCCCATGTTGTTGTAGTTATTGCCGCCACCACCACCTCCGCCGCCGCAGTTACCTGCGATTGCATTATATGCAAAAAATTAAAAACTACCACGCCTTCAGCACAAACCGTTTTAGGCAAGTGGAGCTGAAACACTTACCATAACCGTTGCTGTCATAACCGTTTCCTCCGTAGCCACCGCCTCCTCCGCCGCCACCACCACCCTGGTTGTAACCTTGGTTATATCCCCGGTTGCCACCATTATTATATCCACCGGGACCTCCAGGACCACCTCCATATCCTACAACACATACCGTCTGAGTACGAGGCCAAATTCCATTCTAATTTGGAAAGTGAAAACACTTAAACCTGCTGAAATGCCTACTTACCACCATCACCTCCACCTCCATTGCAATTGTAAGGACCATCTCCATATCTACCCCTGCCACCTGAGAGAGACAAATATGCAGTCAGGTTTCAGGCATTATAATATAGTACAAGTTATTATGTAAATCTATTATCACTTAAGTCTTACCCTGATTGAAGCCCCTGTCGTAGTCGTACGGCCTTCCACCACCACCGCTGCTGCGACCTAAAAAAACCAAACAAAAAAAACAACCGTTAGCACTGGAAGTGTGCGTTGATTGGGCCAATGTGCGTTGATTAGGCCAATGTGCGTGTGGCTTGTTCCTTAATAAATAAAGTAGGTTTATTTAATAAGGAGCCTACCTCCTCTCATACCCATTCCTGCAGTCTGCATTTCCTGTCTTGTGAGGGCCTTCCTTACTTCACAGTTGTGGGAGTTGATTGTGTGGTATTTCTGGACTGTGGGGTGGAGGAGAAAAAGATGATACTGAGTAGCCATTCAAGACAAGTCGATAAATCTGACAAACAGAAATCACTTGTACTTACTGACGATCCTGTCGACTGCATCGTGGTCATCAAAGGTCACGAAGGCAAAGCCCCTTTTCTTTCCAGTATTGCGATCTGTCATGATGTCAATGACCTCAATTTTGCCAAACTGCTGGAAGTAATCTCGCAGGTGTGACTCCTCTGTATCTTCCTTAATTCCTCCAACAAAGATCTTTTTCACCGTTACGTGGGCACCTGGTCGGTTTGAGTCCTGTGATCAAAGACATCTGCTGTAGTAACTACACCCAACCCTTCTTTATATGCATGCGAGGTACTCGAGGCAGGTTTAGTCAAATGCAGTGAAATGCAACATACCTCCCGGGAAACGGCTCGTTTAGGTTCAACAACTCTTCCATCAACCTTATGGGGGCGTGCAGACATTGCAGCATCAACCTCCTGTACTGATGAGTATGTAACAAAACCGAAACCCCTGGATCTCTTGCTGTTGGGATCCCTCATCACCTAAAAGAAGGAGGCAACACTTACTCCCACAACTCAAACATGCAATGTATATTTAATATTTCAAAAAATGCTGAACGCTAAAACTGTGCTAAAAGGCGATAACGTTTGTAAAATGAAAACTTACCACGCAATCTGTAAGGCTGCCCCATTGTTCAAAATGAGCCCGCAGGCTTTCATCTGTCGTCTCGAAGCTCAAACCTCCAATGAACAGCTTGCGAAGCTGCTCCGGCTCGCGTGGGACCTGCACAATGGACAAAGCAACACACTAGCATCAGGGTACATGGCAGCTAGCATTCAAAAGGAAAACACTATAATGTCGGCAATAACCACGTCCACAACGAAACCACCACCACCACCAAGCGTAAAGAGCGCGCTAATGGTATATTTACCAAACCCTGCGTCACACATCAAAAATCAGTACAGGGCGGAGGAGGGCGATATGGCCGCCATTAAAGTTAACACAGTGCTCGTATGATGCTTCAGGGCTTCTAGCAGCAATTGTACGCAAACGCAGGCGTGCGTTAATGTGGTGCGTTTTGTTTTGCATTCTCTCTGCAGTGAAACTATCCTAGTGAAACAGCTGACTTATATACACACACACACACACACACACATTACTGACGGCATGGACAAAAGGCCACGAGGCCCAGCTGCTATAAAATGGCGGCTTTACAACGCCTGATAGCTGCGGCATTTGTGATGAAAACGCAGTCTGCGCTGAGCATCCGCAGTGGTTTTCAATAACCGGTCGCAGTGTGCACGGAAATGAATAAACAAAAAGGGCGTCGCGATTGCAATACTCACATCTTTCGCCATCTTTGTTTGCTAAATCCTTGAAGACTCCTTGAAACTGGACCGGAGAGAGAGGTGATCTGCGTCAGACGAGCCTAGCCCCGGTACCAAGTGTAGAATAAATAGGAAAGGATACACCTCTTTCACACAGCAATTGGCCAATAGTTCCCGCTGCAACCCGTCATCAGGATCCAGTGAATCTCGATTGGGCCAAATTCAATCAATCACCACAAACAGCCAATAACGCGACGGTAGGCGTGTATTTCACGATCCCGACAATAGAAGAAAAACTATGGTTGTGAATATGTGAAGGGATATTTCTAAGAAAACTGTTTTATTAGTAGTGCTTGCAGCTCAGTAAACATATAATGCACACAACAGGGGTTAATATCATGGCTGCACTGACGGAAGACATTAAAGATAAATTACACATTTAAATAGATCATTAATCCTGAATGGTGATTTTTGACCTGATGGTGGAGCTGTGCCTTTTCTCTAAGCATCTTATACCTTTCACTGACACACAAACATGTATTTATATATAGTGATATATATTTATATATATATATATAATATGTTTGTTTTTTGTTTTTAAAGAGAGATGCATTTACAATAAACATGCCCGACCTCTTGAATAATTAGGTAATAATCAATGGGAGCCGCAGGAATATGTAGGTCATCAGCTGACCGACGGGGCGGGTACATTCATTGTGCGCCTTTAACGCGCGCTTTTTACGCACAGCAGCACCTTTATGTGATCCGGGCTAGATGCTAAAGTAGCCCCCGCGTTGGCCTCAAACACAGCAGGTCCACAAAAGACACGCATTATCGCCGCGGTTAAGTGATCGAAACCGGCGGTCCACACGTCCAAAGGGTAAGTAATATTCACCACATTAAAGTGCTCCGTGTTGCCGCGGGTACTGTTGTAGGTTTTTGGTGTCAAAGATAGCCAACGTTAGCGTGTTGAAGCGTTAGCTTGCGGGCTACTTTGCTTTAGCGAGTTTGCCTTTGATGCCCATTGGTTAGCTAGAGAGTTAGCTTAGCAAACACAACATCATATCTTCATTGCTATGTGCACGCATTACGTTTACTGGTAACATCATCTAAGTTAACATTTTTAGGTAGTTAACGTTACTGAAAGGTCTTTAGCCAGCCAGTTAGTTTAGCTTTTTTTTTTTTTTTGCAAGTGTGCCTGTTGCAGATTGGAGTAACGTTAACGACAATAAAACGATGCCTTTCGTTCATACACGATGGTGTCTAGCTAGCGTTGGCTTACGTTAAGTATACCGATCAGTAATTATTAAATCCCTGCGCCGAAATTTATCGGCTAGAGCTTTGTCAACCAAAAAAAAAAAAAAAAATCATCCATATTCTCTTTAACTTTAGCCTCTCTATCGTTTTCCTATACAGGGAAGTGCCATTGGCCTGCAACAGCGTAGTGTTCAGCAACAAACTTCGCTATGGGCAAAAAGTCTCGCGAAGAGGAGTCTTCATCCTCTGATGAGGAAGAATATGTTGTGGAGAAGGTGCTGGACAGGAGGGTGGTGAAAGGCAGGGTTGAGTTCTTCCTGAAGTGGAAAGGATACTCAGAGTAAGTAAGGATACTCAGAGTTGTGCTCCAGCCAGTGTGCTAACCGTACTTGCACTTACACCGCTACAGATTTGAACTAAGGGTACATCATCAACACCGTGATAGGCTATAGGTTAAACTAGGGCTGGGCGATATGACTAACATTTAATTTACTTATAGAGGTAATTTTATATCCTGATATAGCAAATTTTTTTTGTAACTTCAATGAGTAAATAGTGTATATAAAATCACTACATTGAGTTCCTTAATGATATATTCAACGAACACAAGGTACTTACTCGTATTTGATTATTTTTCTCCATTTTATTTAGATGCTTTGTGCAAATTTTCTATTAAGCATGTAACAAAATCTAAAATATTTGTCTGTGTTTCCCACGTAAGACTTTAGTTGGGGGAGCCACCCTAGTATTTTAATATCCAGCAACCCAATTAAGCATTTTGCAGAGAAACACAGAGAGAGAGAGAGAGAGAGAGAGAGAGAGACAAACACAGTCATAGAGAGAGAGTTATGTACTCGGATACAGTGGCTTTTGACAATTTCCACAGGCTCATTAACAACAAGCCTCGTTTATACGAAGCTCACCTGTCTTTGTAAAGGGAACGCGGGGGAAAAATCCAAAACGCGAGTTATGTTTTTTGGGAGACTTTTTAAAACATACTGCTGGAGAGACAGCACCACGATCAGAGAGAGGAGGCGGGGGGAGCAAGCTCGGCGCCGGAGGGGGGTGAGCAGAGTTGCTTTTGTTGTATGAAGGGAGAAGAGAGAGAGAAGAGAGAGAGAGAGTACCGCGAGAGAGAGAGAAGAGAGAGATGAGAAGAAAGGAGATGAGCAGATTAAAGTAGTTTCTTGATAAAATTTTCTTAGCCATTGCATCCCTGCCTCATCAACCCCTTCAGAGTACATATTTTTTCTCATATGAACTCCGGAAGAGTCTGATTTGTGACGCAATGAAATAAACGCTCAAACTACCAAAATATGAGGTGAACAATGTTTTTGTTTCGTCACGCGTAATATATCGTCATATCGCACAGCCTTAGTTTAAATATCACACGTATTTTATAATATTTATACTATAGACCAAATTGAAAGCGGCCATTCACAGCTGACGTTAGTTATGCGGTTAGCATTAGGCAAGCAGGCAGGGGCATTCACAGCCTTTTTGAGTCTGATAACAACATGCACATACACTCAGAAAATACAGTAATGCAGGTTTAAAGACCAAGAAATGATAGATAAATAAAATGTGAGGATGAATTACAATATTATGAACATCAGCTACTATCATATTGATTTCAGTAGATCATCTGTGATCTGTGTTGTTGACTTGAAAGTAATGGCTGTACTGATAGTGATATGTTACATTGTGATCTTCCTCAGAAAGCACAACACGTGGGAGCCAGAGAAGAATCTGGACTGCCCTGAGCTTATTTCAGAATTCATGAAGACCTACAAGAAAAGCAGTGGTGGGAGCTCCACACCTAGCAGCGGGGGCAGCAAATCAAGCACAGGCTCCTTGGGACGCTCCAAAGACTCCAGCACCTCAAAGAAGAGAAGCTCAGACGATGATGAGGAGGGTGGAAGTAAGCCCAAAAAGAAGAAGGAGGTACGTAATGTGTTGGCGCAGTGGTCTTGTTATCATACGCTTTAGATGCGGAATGCTGTCAGGTTTCATCTTAACATAATCTGATCTATATGAAAGTATGCATCAAAGGTCTTTGTATGCAGCTCATTGAGGACTTCAGATCAGCTTTCCACTCTGGGAAGAAACAATGACTTAGCTCTTGATTAAAAGCTCGTTATTTATATGATAATTGGTAACAGTTCTGAACTGAAACTGATTCTGTATAGTGTATTTCCGGGGATACACTTCAGCTCCTTTTCATTGATTTGCTAAAAAGATGTGCCAGTTTTATTTGGCATACAATGAATATATTGAATCAGTGAGTTTTGTGTTGAAATTATGGGAATGGAAAATTTTCTGTTTATTTAATTTATTTAGTATTGGCAAGCAAAATCTAATCAATTACCTCTGAAATGCATTCTTATGCTATTTTGTGAACAGCAGACACATTGTGTAAATCATTCATTTATCCGCCAATAAGCACAATTAGTAAACAGTTTGTATACTATACAAATGAGTTTTTCTTCCTTTGTCTTTCAGGATGATATTCTAGTTGCACGTGGCTTTGAAAGAGGACTTGAGCCAGAGAAGATCATAGGAGCAACAGACTCATGCGGAGACCTAATGTTTCTTATGAAATGGTAGGTGTTGTTGATATGTTCTATTAGCGTTTAAAAAGACAAAGGATACTCTCATTAGAAATTGTCTTTTCTAAAGATGACTGTCCCCAAATCAAGATTTCATCTTCACTTCAAACACATCCATCGACTCGGATAACATTAATTTTTCGTGTAGTTAATGTTTTTTTTATTTTTTATTATTAGAAGTACTCAAATTACACTAATGTCTTTTTCTTTAACACGCCTTACCTACAATTATGAGAGAATATAATATTTGCTCCCCTGCCCAGTTAGTGTCTGTTCGGCACATCCGCCGACCTGCCATCTCTCAGGTTTCGACACAAAATGCGGTTCCTCTCAGCAGCTTAAAAAGAAGTGCAGTACGACAAAATGTGGTTCAACTAATGATTTGAATCAATGACGCTTAGGGGCTTCCCTGATTAAATCAGAAAGCATACAGCATTAATTCCCCATGTTAAGTGAGAGTGGTAGTCAGTAATCATAATATCAATATTAAGTTTTCATTTCTGATAAATAAAACTTAATGGGATTATTCTAAACTATCAATATTAATGACATATTAGTGGCTGGAGTCTGTTTGCACACTGCCTTCTTCTGATGGTTCAGGACTTTATCTGCAGCACCGGAATCAATGTTGATGTACAGATACAATTTTGGATACCACAAGCGATACATGACACGATGTTTGGGGTTATGAACATCTTCCATGTTTTCCTTGTGTGCTGTACGTCTACAGCTGTACGGTGAAGTGAGTGTAATTAGTGAATACCTTCCGGCTTGGTTCTGCTACTGATAAGGGTATGAATGACTCATAAGTACTCTGCATGGGTCTTTCCACTTGATCAGGAACTTAGTATTTGTGTTTCTTCTGAAAATACCTGGTATTTGTGCTCTTCTGGTTTCTAGCTGTTAACCCTTTGGTATTGTAGGTGTTAACCCTTTGGTATTGTGGGTGTTGCCTGCAACAGTTGCCATCTGTGCATGATTCTTTGAAACGGCAGCTCTCAATATGCCAGATTGCTACTGACAAATGATCCATTAGCAGCACTAATAGCCTAGCTGTCCATTCATATACAAACAGTAAGCCACACCATAAAATTTTATGTCATTACACATCAGCTAGATGGATATATGCGTAGTACCTCGTCATTTATTTATTCGTGCTTAGTCAAGCTCTATTCCAGGGTGTTTGCTGGTGCGAAATGGGCAAACAGTTACACCATTGCCGTGATTTGTTATTTGGTTTGTTTTTGTTTTAATGAATAGAAACATGGCCAGATCCTAAGCAGATTTACAACCCCCACCTGCCTACTGCACTTATAAGAAACATGATTCACAGTGTGTAATTTAATTTAAAAAAGTCTAATAAAAGGTAGTAAAATAATAAATGGCACAAAAAATTACAAACCACCACACCCGTTTACTACAATCTAATAGTGAAAAAAATTAATTGGATGGCTGTATTTTTTTTTTTTTTTATAATTTGTATAAATGCATTTAAACGGTCAACTAAATGATGTAATCCATTTTAATTTTTTATGAAGTTGGCAAATAATTTGACATCCATAATTCAAATGTGCAATGTATTTATAATGTACAGGCATCATGTACACTAACATGTTTACAGTGTTATTAGATTATCTTTTTTTTTTTTCTAACTAATCTGAACTACTCTGAATTTACAAGATAAACCTTGGTCTTTATCTATTGCAGGAAAGACTCTGAAGAGGCTGATCTCGTGCTCGCCAAGGAGGCCAATCATAAGTGCCCACAGATCGTCATAGCCTTCTATGAGGAACGTCTCACCTGGCACGAAGACAGTGACAAGAAGGAGAAGGATGCTGTCAGTGCGTGAGTGCATCACCTCAGGAGGAAACAGGACCTCCTCCACTGCAGGGACTACCTTGAGTCAGATATTTTTCACACCCAAACCTCCCATCCTCCCTCTTTACCATGTCCAACAACAACAACACATAGACAGCGGACACAGTCGTGTTATCTCCATCCATGCCCCATGGGAGCACAAGGGCCCAGACTGCTAAAAAAAGGATCCATCAGACAGGAGGAGAAGCTGTAGCGGACATGGGTGATATGCTACTGGGGAGGGGTTCTGCTGTTCTGTTTGTGTATACTTTACCTTCTTTTTAATGTCTTAACACATCATGTTTTAGTGCTTACAGGATGCGATTGTGTCGGTAAGGTATTTTGCATCCATGGCCATCTGTTAAAACTTTGTTCCGAGAGCCAGAGGTTAACCGAGAGCATCTCCCACGGCAGGTGCACAACCCCCATCTTAAAGTCTGTATAGGCAGTGCACCTTTTTGCTTTGAAAACCCACTAACATCACTGAGGATAAAACCGTAGTCTCGCTATTCAGGAAACAACCACCGCAGCACTTTCCTGACTGCATAATCACTTCCTTTTTTAAAACTTTTTATCTCTTGTAGATTTTTCAGTTAGTCCTGTCTACCAATATAACTACTCAATTTGCAAAGTTGCAGATGACACCGGCCAATTTATGTCTTTATAAATAAGTGACGATATCCTTGTTCGTTTTTTTTTTTTTTTTCGTTTTTTTTATTGTCGTTTTTATCTCTTTTAACGTGAACTTTGTGGTGTTTTCAAATTTCTTTATGCTATCACCATTTTAAGAAAAGGACAATAAAACAAATTTTGCTCAGTTTTGTCCTTTTGTTGTGCTTTTTTTTTTTTTTTTCTCTCCTCTCTTTTAACTGCAGTGTAATCTTTGGACCAGTCTCATGTTAAGAAGTTAGACAATCTTTACTCTATCCACATGAAATTAAACCAGCATTCAGCGCCAGTCAATGGGGCCTGCCACCTTGTGGTTAAAAGATGAAAATGTTTTGGACTGTGACCAAGCTATGATGACAAGCCTGCAGTTTAAATGGTGTTATTGATCTTGTTAGTAATACTTTTGATAGTGTTTTTTTTTTGATTTTTGTTTTTTGTTTTTACAGTGTAAAGTGGTAAAATCCACTCATCAATTAGAATATTTGTTGTTGATATCATTGTAATGTTATGTTGAAACATTAAAAAACAGTTTCTGATTGGATTATGCATATCCTGTCATGAGTAATTTGATTGTTTTTTTTTTTAAAATAAGTATTCAAATTTGAGAATGTTGCTACCTGGCAAGCAGGGGTAGTGTCATGCATTCACAAGATGGATGCCGGTTTTGTAGTTTGATCGGCTGTGCTCCAACACAGACTCTTAGGACCAAATGTTTAGTGTGTACAGACTGAGAACTGCTGTGTATTTTCTATATTTTTTTTGGCTTTAATTGGCAGTTTGAATGAAGGCTGTGACCTTCTCCCCTTTCATACGTACAGTTCATTAATCAGGTTCCTTGATACCACATAGATTATGGTTTTGGTGTCTTTTCATTAAAAATATTTTGTCCTTTCAGACCCCTCCGTTTTGGTCTCAGTTTTTGCCGGTGCAGAATTTTTAAAAGGTAGACTATTTCTTGTGTCAACTAAATGTTCCAAATACAGTATGTGTACAGTAGCACCCTTTAATAAACATTTTCAGTGTTAAAGTTGCTGTCAGTTTGCTTTTGTTTTAGGATGTACATTACATTTCTGCAGAGAGAAAATAGGTTATTTTATTTTAAACCTTCCCTCCAGGATTAAATAAATTACCAGGAGCCAGGAGAAAATGTCTGTTTTCGGATAAAACAAGTAATAAATATACTACACTAAACCTTAGATTAACATCAGGACTTTTCATAATATCGGGGGCAGGGGATAACTATATGTCCTGGGGGATTCATAAAAACCTATAAGTCACAAGTATCATGAGACCTAAGCTGTTTAATGGGGCCTTAGTTGAAATGAGACCTATTTTATGTTTTCTTTGTTGAAGAAAATGTTTTGTGAGCATCAGCTGCTCTCACCCAGCAGATGGCGCTGTTAAACAACACAGAAGCAAAAGTCATAACTATTTTTATGCAAGTCATTCACAGTTCAAACTCTTAAAGTTGCTCACTACAGCAACTCATACGTTAGTCTTTTATGGATTATTAAACCTCTGACAGGGGCATGGATTCATGTTGTGTTTACTAACATCACGTCTTTCTCTAGCACATCAATTGGCTTCACTTTGGCTCTTCTTAACATCTGCTGAACCCACCTGTAGAGCCACAAATTCGGTTGGTGCAGTTAAGCATTATACTCAAAAAGATTTATCTTAATTTATAGTGAGGTTTCTAGAGACACCAGATACGGTATGTCAAGCTGAAATGTGTTTAAAATAAAACTCAACACACTGGCCAACAGTATGCATGCGTGTAAGTGTGCACATATGGCAGTAAGTTTGCTCACGAGACTGCAGCAGTACATTTTTGATAATATAAGATGAATCTAGGATTTGAAGAAGAAAACAGATGTGGAATTATACAACAAAGGTCCCTGGCTGGATGCAAACTGAGGACATACAGTATTATTGCATGGTTGGCCCTAGGCCATCTCTCTTTCGTTTGATGTAATGATGCAGCCATAAAAACATTCAGTCAGTTTAAGGACTTCATGTAGCTTGAATGACAAACCTGATAGACAGAATATATAATGTGATTATTTCTCAATTTGAAAGTGACTCAAGTACACTAGCCAATTTCCACTAAAGTTAGACTTCAAAATTAGCCCCCATTTTCTCACAATATGGTCACCAAGACAAAAATGGGAAATTAGTTGTTTATTATAATAAATATATGTCATTTAAGAATAGTGCAGTATCTGTAATATATTGCAGTGAAGGTTGAGTCTAATCCTTGTTCTTCTCTCACCACCCTCTTTTTCTTTCTTGCTGCCTTTTATAGTGACTCCTCTCTCTGACACACACTAACACACACACACAAAGTGCTGCTCAGCTACGTCTAAAGTGATGGAATTTTCCTAGCAAAAAGGCTTTTACACTCCAAATGGAATGCAAAGGTCACTAGTAAATTTCCAGCCCCTGGGACCATTAAGCTGGGCAAAGGGAGCGAGCAGCAGGCTGTTTTATGGAGCCTGGAGCTGTCTGCTGACAAACCCAGGCCAGTAGGTTTGGTTGGGAAAGCCACAGTGGCACTCGTGGGAGCTCTGCCTGTGATGTGTGTGGCAAATACAGAGGCAAGCAGTTCTGGTACGTGGTCAACGGGCATGCAGAGAGAAGCTTCATTGAAGCTAAAAATCTAAATGAGGAAAATCAGATTTGAGCCTTTCTGTGAGAAATTTGTGTGTGCTGTGTGTAAGTCAAATAAGGAGCAGTCTGTTCCTTTTTTAGCTAAGAAATGTCAGCTTTTCAGGATGCACTCATAGATTTTTGACATTGTATTTATTTTATTTGATATGTTGAATATACCTTTAACCGTTTTTATGTAACTTGCAGTATTTTTAATTGGAAACAATAATACTGCTTCAGCCAGCTGTGTCTTTGTCTCAGTGGAGATCATGTGTTGAAATATAGTTACAGTTGTGGTGTAAATGTATTTATTTATTTATTTGCAGAAACCTCCCTGCACTTCAAACATAGTCCCTCCTGTACCAGTAACTTCTAGTGCAAATGAGTTCCACAGGGTACTGCCCATGGCAGAGGTGGGTCGTCTTGCAGCACATTACACCAAATGAGTGTCAGGGGAGCTGTGGCGAGGGAAGGGACTGCTGCAGTGGGCCTCATCAGTGTTACACAGCTTGTTCAAGGATACCACTAAAACAGCAAACAAATAAATGTGCACTCATACAGACAACACAAACAACGAAGCACAATGCACCATTACCTTGTTTATCTTCAGTTAGTATTTCAGAGAAATTGTGAAATATAAGTGTTGTAAGTATCATAGAGGCAGATGTAATTTGATGTGGCCTTTCTCGTGCTGCGGGGATGTAGGCACAGCTGCCCAACAGCTGTGCTTCCATTTCCTCGCTGCAACCAGATAAAAAAGTCTGCAGCGATGACTGGTGCATCATCCCTCCGACAGTGCACTGATCTGTGTGAAGGTGATTGTGATGTGATGCTCTAATTTGGGTGGCTATCACACTTAATGTGCAGTAAAGCACCACAGACAAAGCTTCTTCGTTCTAAATGCCCCCTCTACTGCGCCATGGCTCTCACCGCCAACCCTCTGCTGGCTGTGTTTCCCCTTCACCTCCCCCCACTCCTCCCTTCATCTCCTCTCCCCACCAGGGGAAAGAGTTATAGCTGCCATAAAAGGCAGGTAATGCATTGTTAACTAATTCTGTCTGCTCAGAGCTGATATATCCTCTGCTCTAAATCTCTGTGCTTCCAATAAAATGCAAATGCTAATGCTTGCCCTCCATGAGCTGATATCATTTTTAACAGGCCAGAGGTAAATGCTAGAGAAGGGTGGGGTGGGCCAGAGGTAGTATGTGACTTGGTGGAGCTCTGAGCCTTCACGGTACATTCTGTCAGAAAGGAGACCTCCAGACCTGATCCACACACCACTGGGCAGCAGTATGCATGTGTGTGTGTACATATGGCTGTAGGGTTGCACATGAGAATCTAGGGGTGTATGGGAGTAGTTAACTTGCGATAGTGTAGAGCTAGTATGGTATCTTTGTTATTGAGAAGCCAACACTAGCATTTCAGTCAGTACTCATTCACCATCAAATAACAGAAGCCAATTTGCCTGTGGATGTAATGCATCATATTTCCATGTTAATAGTATTGTCATACTTCGTGTAACCTTGGGCTTCTAAATATTGATCCACTTCTAGATTTTCAATTATCCTGTGCCGTTTTTCTGCCATCTGGTAAGGACCAGTGATTTGTGTTCCTTCATATCTGGAGGCTTGTCCTGTAATTAGACCATAAATTAATTTGCAGAGAGGATAGAGAGCAGAAAAGATTGAAGGCATTAAGTAAGTCCTCGGTGGTTAGAGACAGAAAATCATAGCAGACGACCACAGCACAGTGTTTTATTCACTAGAAAAAGATAACTGGATTACAAATTCCAACACCATAACTTTCTGCTCCTGCATGTGTCACTTCTTTCAAGTATTTAAAACCATGCTGCTGCTAATGATTGCTTGTAAGTCAGTTCTTCAATAAATGGCTAGAAATCTTCCACTGACATAATTATACCTAATTACTTGCAGTGCAGCAGCAAAATGATTAGGAAAAATGGGGTATATTAGTGTCAAAATGTGTGTGAAACTTTGCAGTGAAATGTGCTGTGAATCCATCAGTGGATTTAAAATGACCCCCCACGCAGGCAGACAACAATCGTGTGCTTCAAACGTAGCTCTTATTTACAGCACGGCTCAAGTGGAGGTCCTAAAAACCAAATGCATCTTGATTGATTTTAAATTGGAAGTATATGCTCTCCTGCAAGATTAGCTCATTGTCCCCTGCTGCTAAATTACACACAGTGATTGGGGCTGTCGCTGCACAGCGTCTGAGCACTACAACTGCAGCTCTCTTCGCCATGTGGAAATTCACATTAGACAAGCCCAAGTTACTCGCTTAAAGCAATTAGGAGAAAATTATGTAACAGAATGGGATTTTCTTGTGGTGGAAAATGCTAAATCAGCAGGATCTGAGTTTAAAACACTGTATACAGACTACAAGATGTTCTAAAGTGAGCGAGGTCGACGTGACAGTAAGACTAGCACTGTAGTCTGTAGGTGGAAAACTGCATTGGTGTACCTGCTCTACATGATACCTTGGGTGTTATTTAGGCAAGGCCACAGCTGCCAGCATGCTCTGATCATATCTTGTGGGGCATGAGAGGCAAGGTCAGCCAACGCAGAGCCCACCTGCTCCCCCATTCTCCATCACATAGTCCCTCAGCCCTGGCCTCCCGGAGGAAACACGCCTGACTGCTGCGCTGCTACAGACAGCATGTGTCCCTGAATTTATGATGGCGACTTATTGGCGGCCTTTCACGTTAAAAGTCATCTTGAGTTTCCCAGTCTAGCTGTATGTGTGGCGAGCGTTAATCCATTAACATTCAGAGCAGACACGTACGGAGGCTGGCTTTCCGCCAGCCCTGAGCCCTGACAGTCTTTGACCCACCGCTGACCACAACATTCTCCTGCCTCTGCTCCCAGCCATTGCCAGCCTCGACATAATACAGCGCCATAAACTATCTAATGTTACACTGTATATAAATGTGAGGTATTATACGCTTGAGGTCCAATATGCAAGGCTTATAACTGAGTGAGAAGAGTCCAGCTGCAACAGTCTCATTTTGGCAGAGAAGGGAAAAAAAATCACATCTGTCTACAGAACTCTACACATCTTACATTTTAATCGTACAATGTCAAATGAACATAAAGTTTCAGTTCTTTCTATTTCCATCAAGGATTAGAGTTCAGAGAGGCCATGAAATCCCTAGGATTTTCAGGGGTGGTATTTATTTCAACAGGAGATGTTGAAGTTCATTTTAACTGAACCACGAGGAATAG